AAGGGGAGGGAGGGGGGGGGAGGGAGGGAGGGAGGGAGGGAGGGGAGGGAAAAGCAAATAAGCTTGATTTCAGTAAGTTAAACAATCCTTAATAAACAAAAGCAGATACAACTAATGAAAACCATTTAATAATTTATTCTGAGTGCCAGGCCTATACAGGAATCACCAGGGGAACCAATAAAACACTAGCAGAGAGATGGCATTTCAGCTTATTCTTACTTGTAAACAAAGGGGAGTACAGAGGAGGTAAAGCGTTCACCTTACTTATTTTCAGCTTCTTTAAAAGCACTGCTTTTCAGTTTCCACGAACTGCTTTGCATCCTGATGTCTCTACACAGGAAGCGCCACAAAGACGGTCTACCTACCACCTGTCAAGAACTACTTCAGACTTTTCTTTTGCAAAGCTACCATCTCCTCCCCACTCACTCTCAGATACTCACCTTCCATATGGTTTTCTTGATCATATACCTTACTTAGCCATGATCTAATAGCATTCCCCTATGGAGATCTTGAATAAATAGTTCATAACAGCCATTACAACCCAAATGCAAACTAATGACAACAAGAAACAAAATAGCTATGTAACCTAGACATTGATTTGGTTCAGTATTTCCTGAACACCACTGAAGACTATGGACATACAAAGAATTGACCTGTGAAAAGTCTTTGTTGACCATTATTTCTTTTAAAAAGTAATAGTAGCCAGCCATGGTAGCACACTCCTTTAATCCCACCCCTGGGGAGGCAGAAACAGATGGATCTCTATGAGTTTGAGGCCAGCTTGCTCTACACATATGATTTCCAGGACAACCAGGGCTGTTTATGTAAAGAGACATTGTCTCAAAAACTAAAACAAGTCATTGTACTTCAAATATAATTGTTGTTATTACATTATAAAATAGAATTTAAATATAAATATTTTAAAAATAATAATAGTACTCACTCTAAGACCTAATGGTTTATACCAGTATAAAGCAATGGGAAATCAGATAACAGGAAAGGCTAGCACAGATCATAGAAAATACTTGTATTTTTATGATTTTACCGTGTTGGGCGTTCCCACTGTGTAGTTCTTGTTATGTGGTTTAGATACTGGATTCTTCCAGAGGCAGTCCGCCTTTCTTCCCAACTGCAATTAAAGCATTGAGAAACAGGGCATTAATGGGTGTCAGCCGGAAGTGAGATTTGGACTGTGGACTGTTCTCCCCACAACCACTAAGTCAGAAAGGATTTTTTTTCTTAAATCATAAACCATAGAAGACAATCTCGGAGATCAATTCATAAAGAGCCTGCTACTTTTTTTCAACTTGCATTAGAACTGCACAATGGTGTTTACAAAACTTCAAGCTATTTTTGTTGAGGTCGTATTTTTCTTATCAGCCAAACTGAGAACTTTTAAAAACTTTAGCAACACTTAAATTGACAATAGTTTCCAAGAATTTTGTAGTATATGCCTGAACTGACACATTAATCATAAAATTCATCAAATTTTATAGCAATTAAGCAAATGATCAAGGATTAGAATCCAGTCTAAAAAATATTTAATCCCTTGTAATTTTAAAAAATTAAACTTTACTAGGAAAGCTCTTTACATCTAAAAGCTCTTTAAAGTAGTTAAGCCTATTGAAACTCAGTTTTTAAATTTTACTTCCTTATTCTACATGCATGGATGTTTTGTCTCTCTATCTGTGTATCATGTTCATACCTAGTGCCTTCAGAGGCTAGAGTATCCCATCACCTGGAACTGGAACTGGAGGTAAAGATGGTTGGAAGTCAACATGTGGGTGCTGGGAATTGAAGCTGGGTTCTCTAGAAGAGCAGCCAGTGATCTTAACTTCTGAGCCATCTCTTTAGTCCTCTAAACTAAATTTTAAAAATAAAAGTACCATTTGTCCCTAAACTCTTTATGCCATTTCATCTAATGAAATATCCAAATGACTATGGAAATGTGGTTATATTCCTCTTGTGGTTACAATTATAATACAGTAATAATCAGCAAGAAAAGATTAGTTATGTCTCAACACTGGTATATTGTCTCAATATTGATTACTTCATCTTTAACTTCCCTGTGAAAAACATCACAGACTTCCTCGTTTTCAAAAAAGAATTAACAGACTTATCAAGAAGCTAAAACAAAGAGCTAGAGAGTGGCTCAGTGGTTAAGAACACTTGCCGCCCACTCTTCTAGAGGGTCCAGATTCAGCTCCAGTACCCACACCAGTCAGGCAGCTCACAACCATCTGCGTAAGTCCAAGTCCAATAGGCACATAAACACATGCACAGACATACACATCTACACATAATTTAAACATTTTTAAAAGCTAAAACAATCTACAGTTATTTTTACCAACTAAAAATGTTGTATGTAGTAAAAATGTATGTGTGTAGTACCCAAGAAGGGGAATCAGATCACCTGGAGCTGAAGTTACAGAGGCTGCCAGACTTTGGTGTTAAGAACTGAATTCACATTCTCTCCAAGAGCAGCACATGTTCTTAACATGGTCTATATCTGCAGCACCAACTGATGTGTCTTTGAGAATTATTTTTATGTACCGGTGTGCATGTATACCTGTACATGTTCACGTGTGTTTACGTCCCCAAGGAGGGAAGATGAGGATGTTAGATCTCGTGGAACTGAGATACAGGTTATTTGTGAGCTCGCAGTGGGAAATGGGAACTGAACCACAGTCCTCAGTAAGGGAGACAAGCTCTTTTACTGGGTGGCCATCTCTCCAGCCCCTAAAACTGGATGTTTTTTTGAGACAGGGTCTCATAATACAACTCATGCTACCTTGGAACTCACTATGTACTCCAAGCTGACCCTAAATTCATGATCCTCCTGCCTCGACCTCCCAACTGCTCAGACTGATAAGAGTAGGTCACTATGCCTAGCACAATTTTAGGGTTTTTTTTTTTTTCGTTTAAACAAAATATGCAAACACTACAACTTGTATATAAAATTTTATGTCAAAATAAGACAGGCTAGCAATATGGCTGAGTGAATAAAGGTACTTGCTGTCAAGTAACAACTTGTATTTGATTCCGAGGATCCATATGGTAAGAAAAGAGAACTAACTTACAAAAACTGCCTTCTGATCCTCAAATATACACCATGGTTCACATATACTCACACAAATCCACACAAATAAATGTGATAAAATTGTAAACAGTAAGTTAAGCTAAAAGTCAACCAATTAACTATATCTACTGTTAGTGGATACAACTTATTGTAAGTTATATTTCACTGAAGTTAACTAAAAATACTTTGAAATTAAAAAAATTAGTAAAGTATCAGACAGTTTAAAAAGTGAAGAATACTGATAAAATTCATAAGCTTGGGAATTAGGACTTAGGCATAAGATCCAGATCCCCCACTTTACTATATAACCTCAATTTAAAATGATTTATATTGGCTTCCATTTTCATTGTTGTAAAATGAGAATAACAATAGTAGTAACAACATTTTTAAAAAATAGCTAATAATTAAGTACTTGGTTTTGTTTGTTTTTAAGACAAGGTTTTTTTTTTTCTTTTTTTTTTTTTTCTTTTTGGTATTTTCAAGACAGGGTTTCTCTGTGTAGCCCTGGCTGTCCTGGAACTCACTCTGTAGACCAGGCTAGCCTTGAACTCTCGAACTCAGAAATCCGCCTGCCTCTGCCTCCCAAGTGCTGGGATTAAAGGCATACGCCGCCACCGCCCAGCTGAGACAAGGTTTCACTATGTAGCTTTGGTTGTCCTGGAACTCACTAAGTAGACCAGACTGGTCTCAAACTCACAAATGTGTCTGCCTCCCCTGGGAATAAAGGTGTGTGCCACTGCATCTAGCTTATTAAGTAAGCACTTATGATGTACTGCTTTACATGGATGAATTCATCTAACCCTTGCACCGATCATGGCATACTTCATCAATCATCTTGTTAAAAGTTCATAAAAGTTAAATAAATTAAGTTTACATACAATGTCAATTAATAAAAGAATGAGGACCAGAACCCAGGTGGTCACTATACATTGCCCTTGCTGCCACAAGAATTAAATAACATCATAGGCGTTAACTGCTTGTCACAAATATACTTCACTGAATGTCACAATGTTACAATTACTATTACTCAATTCTCTCTTCCTTAACTCTAAAAATAAAGCGCCACATTCAAATTCAGTGCTTGTATGCTCTGTTCTAGATAATTAAGGAAAACTCTTTTTCTTTAAAAAAATAAATTTACAGCAGAGCAATATCTGACAAGGAATTTCCTTATCTTCCTTTTCAAAACTCTTTATAAATGAAATTTAACACCACTTGTGGCAAGTCCTTACAATTTTCCAAGTAGAAGAGAAATCTATGTTCTGTTTCTATGTTCCTAGAACTCCTAGGGCATCATCAACACCAACTCCTCAGTCACTAGCTTGAGGGCAGTACTGCTGCATGCATGTCTCTAATGACTTCAAGATGTCCACTTACCCATCTGGTAAATCATTGTCAAACAAACGACTGCAGTCCACAACTTGTCCTCCCGTGCCTATTCGGTCTCTGGATTGAAGACTTACTATTAAAAAACAAAATCACTATTAAGATTTTGATAGTGCTTTCCAGTTGTGTCAAGCTAAATATTCCTCTTAAGCCAAGTATGGTGGTGCGTGTCTGTAATCCGAGCACTCAGAAGAATGAGACACAAGGACTGCTGAAGTTTGATGTTAGCCTGGGTGCACAGCAAGTGTAAGCCTAGTCTGTACATACTGAGAAGCCTTGTCTCAGAAAACCAACTAACATAAAATATAGATTATTTTACAATCTTTAGATGATTGAGCTGAAGATGTACTTCAGTGACAGTATTCTTGCCTAGCATGCATGAGGCTCCCAGTACTGCAAAAACCAAAGTAACAGAGTTCAGAATGAATTCCTCGGTTTCTACTAAAATCTGTAACTTCTTTTCTCATAGATTTTTCTTTTTAGACATAATGTTAAAATTCAATGTTTTCTTGAGTTTGTCATGCTTTTGAGGAAGAGTCTAGTGCCTTTTCCAATATCAGAATGGGGCAATGTAAAGTCACCCACTGAACTTAAGAGACAAGACACTAAGAAAGTCTGAAAACACAGTCTGAAACTTCCCATGAACTTAGGTTGCATTCTTGAAATAGCTATAAAAAATACACTGGATCGTAGCAATGAGACAAACCTTGTGTCACAGGAGCATTAGCAGCACGTCAGTATGGAATGTAGTATAAAATTACCATTGAGCAGCTTAGAAACAGGGCATGCAGGCTCTAAAGTAGGCTGCACTAAGTAGCCAGCACTAGAACACCTAATTCAGTGCAAGTTTTCATAATCCCAGACTAAATAATAAGGAAGTTAGGTTACCTGATAGTTCTGAAGTTCTTCCTTGTTCTACTATTCCTTAATTCTATTTTTGGCATCTTCCCCAAAGATAGAAGAGATATAACCAAATATGACTATACCCTAACTTGTTATAGAATTCATAAGTTACAACATAAAATATGATTTCCAAGGATTTTTTTTCAAAGAAAGATCTTAAAATTCTGCTCTTTAAATTTGGAGAGGGAGTGCTACTTTTTAGGTTTTTTTAAAAAGCTGTGTTTATTGTCTGTGTCTAAGTGTCTTGCCCACATGTGTATGTGTGCACCACATGAAGGCCTAGTCAGAAGGTGCACCGACCCTAGAACTTAATGAGTGGATGTGAGTCACTATGTGCATGCTGAGCACTAGACCCAGGGCTGTGTGAGAGAGCAGCAGGCGCTCTCAGTCACTGAGTCATCTCTCATGCGTTGACACTCTGTGGCATTCTCTGACAAAAGGTCTCATTATGTATAAAGAGTGGCCTTGAACTCATTATGTGGCCCACCCAGCTCTCAAACTTATGGAAATCCTATTTCTTTAACCTCTTTAATGTTGGATTTACATGCATGAACTACCACAACTGGCTAAAATTTTAGAAAAAATAAAAATTTCAAGATAAATCTCCTTTATATTTAGCTTAATTTAAAGGAGAGAACTGTAATATACTATACCTCAGTGAATGTAAATGTTTTAGTAAAAGCAAAAATGAATCTCTAAGTTATTTAGTTTTCAAATAGAAGAAAAACAAAGTGAAACTTCCAGAATGTGAGTCTTGCTTACTTATTTTTTTTTTTTAAGACAGAGTTTCTCTGTGTAGCCCTGGGTGTCTTAGAAGTTTCTTCGTAGACCAAGCTGGCCTTGAACTAAGAGATGTCCCTGCCTCTCCCTTCTGAGTAGTGGGATTAAGGCATGTGTCAACAACCTGCCACAATGATTTTTTTAAAAAAGACAGGGTTTCATGTAGCTTAGGCTGGCCTCAAATTCACTATGTAGCTGAAGAAGACCTTGAACACCTGATCTTCCTGCCTCTACCTCTCAAGTGCCAGGGTCACATGTATGTACCACTGTGCTTGGATTGGTTAGGTATTATTATTTTTGTTTATAAGTTTATGATGCTATTTTTTAATGTTATTTTACTATTTTACGTGTCTCTGCATGAACCACAGCGTATGATGTACACTATAATCATGCAGGTGCCTATAGAGGCCAGAAGAGGGCATCGAACTCTCTGTAACTGGTTTACAGGTGGTTGTAAGAGCTGCCTGATGTGGATGTTGGGAACCAAACATGGGTCTCCTCTGAAAGAGCAGCAAGTGCTCTTAACTGCTGAACTATCACTTGAGCACTAGAAGAAAAACTCTTGCTTCACAAACCATACTATCCCTCAAATAGAGACCCTCCTCCCTCTTCCTTCTGAAAGCTGCAGTAACAGCTGTGTACCATGACAGAACTAAAACAGTGAGTTTTCTACAGTGGTTTTTTTTTTCTCCATTTTTCCCAAAGGATATCATTAGCTAGATGTGGGATCTCATGCCTAGAATCCTAGCACTCAGAGAAGGCTGAGACAGCTGAATCACTGTGGTGCAAGACCAACCTGGGTTACAGAATAAAATCCTCATTCAAATAAACCGTATAGACATCATACATAAAATCATATCCATGTCTATATATGTGCATATTTATGTGTGTATATGTGTGCATGTCTAAGTCCATAAGTCCATGTATGTATGTATGTATGATGAATTTATGTACATATTTATATGTACATATATTTATGTATTTATGTACATATGTGTATGTGTATCTAAGTCCATAAGTCCATGAATGGATTGATTTTTTTTTTTTTTTTTGGTTTTTTGAGACAGGGTTTCTCTGTGTAGCCCTGGCTGTCCTGGAACTTACTCTGTAGGCTGGCCTCGAACTCAGAAATCCTCCTGCCTCTGCCTCCCAAGTGCTGGGATTAAAGGCGTGTGCCACCACTGCCCAGCATAACAAGATTTTTAAATGCAGTGTATATTATTCTTAATAATGGTTATACTATGAAATCCAGTTTCACACAAAATTTTGACATTAAATATACACACATAAAGTAAAACACTTGTTCTACTTTTAAAATATTTTTAATATGTGACAAAGTCAAGTCTGCTGTGCGGAGCAAGTGCTTCAGTCTCCTAGTCCAAGCTGTGATCCACCTGCCTCAGCCTCCCAACTGCTGGAATTATAAGCACGTGGCACTGTGTCTAGTTTGTGATTTCTATAAATAGAAATTTATAGCTAGTGAAACTATTTTTGTTACCTAAAACCATTAACTGATAAGCATTACATAGAATATCAAATCAGCAGGCAAATTACATGCAAAATATTTGTGTGAAAGGATTTATATTTGTTGAGGTATTTTACCCTTTCTCAGTTTAAAAATAGAAATTATCAGCAATCTTGTTTTATAGACACTTCCAGGGACAAGTGTCATAGGAGGTGGTTATGTGGCTACTCTGGAAGCTTCCCATCTATGGATTCAAATTCTTGCTATACTGTTGGGAACTAAAACGTTTCTGATAGAGTAAAAATAATTTTAGCCTAAATCCTGCTCTACCTCAAGTGGGAAAACAGCAATTTATTCGTCCAATTTAAGAAGCCCCAAAGCTGTCTGCCTTAGAATCCTACCATACCATGCATCTTGATCAATCTAAGACTGAACCATTCCCTTGAGTCAGTTGAAGATGGTCTATTAGACCATTTCCACTAAGGTCTTGTGAGTGTAATTCTTCTTTTTTTTCCTAATGTTACTCTATCAGATAATGTTGTTGTCACTTAATGTTACTCTGTTGGGTAATGTTACTCTGTCAGTGCTCATTTTTTTCTGTTAGCAGATTTCTACAATTTCAATGCAGTAACATTAACCAAGTTACTAAGCAATGACTTTCTAAAAAAGATTTATGGGCCGGAGAGATGGCTCAGTGGTTAGAGAGCTGACTGCTCTTCCAGAGGTCCTGAGTTCAATTCCCAGCAACCAAATGGTCACTAACAACCACCAGTAATGGGATCTGTAGCTGTCTTCAGACACACCATAAGAGGGCATCAGATCCCATTACAGATGGTTGTGAGCCACCATGTGGTTGCTGGGAATTGAACTCAGAACCTCTGGAAGAGCAGTCAGTGCTCCTAACTGCCAAGCCATCTCTCCAGCCCAAGTATGACTTTTAACAGAATATTCTCTTATTAAAAAATTAGTTTCAAAATTGTTTTCACAAAATTAATAACAGCCACAAAGTCTACTTCAGAACCCTACTACATTCGAATACTTCTAAGAGAATTTTCTCTTAAAGTCTCAGTAATTCTTTACAATAACAAGTGCTGCTTTTTTCTCTTTTTACATTACATCTTGTATGTGTTATATCTGTATTTGAATGTGGGTCATGTGTATGTTTGATTCTAGAGTTGGGGTTGGAGGTGCACACATGAGCACTGTGCCTTCCTCTCTCTTCACACTATTCCTTCAAAGCAGGGTCTCTTCCTGAACATGGAGCTCAGGGTTTTGCAAGTCTGACAGCCGACAAATCCCAGAGACCCTGCTTCTCTGCTCCTCTCAACACTAGAGTTATAGGCATGCACAGTACCATGCTGGGCTTGTTTTTGTTACATGAATACTGGGATCTGAACTCTGGTCCTCATGCTTGAACACACAGCAAGTGCTCTTATTCAGTGAGCCATCTCATATGGCTCACATATATATATATAGAAGAATAATATGTGTGTGTATATATATTTAAATATGTACACATACATATCTAAATTAAGTCAGGCTGTATCCTGAACCCACTGTAGCATCTTATATGTATGATTCATATGATTCATGCCAACTCCAAGGTACTCAGAGGTTATTTAGACAACTAAGGACAGGGCTCAGTTGGTAGAGCACCTGTCTACCATATATAAAGCCTTGGATTTGATTCACAGCACATCACAAAGCCTGCACTCAGGAGACAAAGGCAGGAGGAAGACCAAAAATTTAAGGTCAACTCTGGCTAGACATCAAGTTCAAGGATAGCCTAGGCTATATGAGACTCTCTCTTTAAAAAAAAAAAAAAATATTTAGACCTATGGCAGTTTAAAAGGAACTAAAATTCAGAATTTTAAATTCCACACTTACCTACTATTTGTCCTCGAACTGTATCATTGTCATTTGGCCCCAGTTTGCATAAATCCAACCTCTGATCTATTCAAATAAAAATAAAAAGCTAGTACCAGAAATACTAACATCTATAATCTATGAATGATACTAAATTTTCATAGACCACTGAAAACTAGATCTATCTTTAATAATCATTCTTCTTACTTGGGACATTAGTAAGCCCCTCTGCCTCCCAAGTGCTGGGATTAAAGGCGTGAGCCACCACTGCCCGGCTCAAATGTTTAAAATTCTATAACTACATATGTAGCACATTTAAACAACTCAGCAAGTTTTGACAAATTCAGATTTCAAAACCATGAAGTGCTGGTAAACTATATTGGTGAAGAATGGTTCTCTCCACAGCTTTCAGATCACTTCAGTCTGAGCTTTGGCTTACCTTACCTCTCAATAGTTGTTGGTCCTAAGCAATTTATACCCAAGTCCTGGCTTTTTGATATGTAACAGAACCTATCTAATTACTTTTCAAGGATTAAATCAGATTATTATATACAACTCTCTAGTATAGTACATGGTACATTAAGTGCTAAATAATATCAGCTGTTTTTTTTTTTTAACCGTTCAAAAGAATACAAAATAAGTATCAAGCCAAGGAGTGTCAGGTGGTGGTGGTGCATACCAGCCTGGTCTACAGAGCAAGTTCCAGGATAACCATAGCTAAAGAGAGAAATGTTGTCTTTAAAAAGGAGAAAAAGAAAGGGAGGAGGAAAAAGAAGAGGAAGAGAAAGAGGGAGAAAGAGGGGAAGGTGGAAAAGAAGAGGCTGAAGATACAGAACTCGTGAGCTGTAGACTTGAGGTAACTATCATTTTGGTAACAGTTCTTTCAGACATCTCATCTGTAAAATCAATGTAACACTGGCCTGCCCCCCAAATTATAAGACACAGTGTCCCCACAGCATGTTGGCTGGGTTTATAAATTACATCTTCTTGCTGAATTGGGCAGTGGAACAGTTTCTATCCACATGTAGAATCTTGTCGACCAGTTCTCTCTCCTACTGCTCATTTTCCTGCCAACCTGGGAGCTAAGACTTTCTCAGTGACTTAGGCACTTAAGTTCCTCTGATTCATAACCTGTAACTCAGTCATCTCCCTTTTCTGCAACAGGCCAATATTTATACATCTCATTGTATATCTCTTACTATATCAAAGCTAAACTTATAGTGGTTTTGTTTACTCATTTCCTTAGATAAAATTCATGTGGGTTTCTTTATTAGCTTAGGCATTCATGACAAAACTGATTTCTTTTTATTAAAATTTTCTACAGAAACATACAAACAAAACATCTGCTGAAAAAGGTATTTCCAACTATGTTCCAATGGGGAGATACCCCTGTCAGGTCCAAAAGTAATGGGACAAATGGCTAACTGTGGTGCCTGTTAACATACCAAAGCTCATGCTGGCCTTGGCTCTCTAAGCATAGCAAATACTAGTCACAGAATCTAGGCTGGCACCCTGATTCTCCCCAGCTCTTTGCACCTCATCCTCTAACCTAAATTTCTCCAGCTTGTGGACTTCCCTTCCCCCAGCTTCTCCTTCCTATCTAACACTAACATTTCAGCCACATGCTCTATTTCCTGTCTTCCTGTCTTAGTGACACTCCATTCTTGACTACCACACACTCTTCACTTCTTATGGCCCATTTTAATCTGCTGGACATGCTTAGTCTACTACTTTCTCTCCAGACTCTGGACTCTTCCAGATGCCTCTGGCTGTACTTTCCTTCACAACTACAATAAAAAACCTTCCCAGCTGGGTGTTAGTAGCATATGCCTTGATCCCAGTACTGAGGCAGAGGCAGGTGGATCTCTCTCTGAGTTTGAGGCCAGCCTAGTCGACAGAGGTAGTTCTAGGACAACCAAAGCTACATAAAGAAATCTTGTTTCACAAACAAAACCAAACCTTCCCTTCTATCATACCTTAGAGCAGTCATGTCCTCACTTTATATTGTCTTGGGGTTATATGAGACAGACATGGTAAGTCAATTCACCAATCCACTATAGAAACCATTTCTAATATACAGGATGTTGAGAAAGAGACTATAATCAAGTAGTCAGTATAACTATTTTATTCTCAAATGTCCTTTTTTTTTTTTTTTTACTGATTCCAATTGCCTAAATAAAAATTTACTTCTATTTTAAAAATCCACCAAAACTAGGTGCTAAAAAGATTTTAAAAGCATGTATATTGGTACCTTTCTTTCTAACTTTCTGGATATCAATCACTTCTCTCTCTCTCTCATTAGTAAATCTTTTTCTTCCACAATTTCATACATATATGTGATATGTTCTAGCCACTCTCCTCTCCTGTTTCCTTCTCAATTCTACCACCCACTCCTCCTCTCTTCCCTAAAAATCTCTTTTGTCTATTGACCAACTTTGTGGTTTAGTTTTCCTTTGTTGATTTTTAAGTGTTTCACATAGTTTAAGGCTGTCTGGTAACTCCAAGCTTGGAGCTACCCATGAGAATCTGGTGGTTTACCAGTGTACATGACTGGGTCCCACTCTCCCTTCTCTCTCAGGATCTCTTACTTGCCAAACAAATCAGCACTGGGTGTTAGGCCTAGGAATCTCGTCTCCTTCCACAACTGTATGTTAGGAAGGCTGGACCTCTGGACCTCCAGTGCCAGTATACACAGCTAGTATATGTGAGTTCGCAGTTGCTATGGCCATGTTGTACTTAGCAGATGGCATTTTGGAGGCCCTTTCTCCATCCTGTGCCTTATACATTTATTTTACCTCTCTTCCTCAATGTTTCCTGAGCCCTAAATGGATGGTGCAAATATCCTATCTAGAGGGCGAGACTCCAGCATCTGTTATTCTCAGTATCTTGTGCCTCCATGAGTCTTTACATTTAACTCGTAACTCTATAAGGAGAGCTGCCTTTATCTGGTCTAAGACAAGCCCCAAATGTCAATCACTTCTGAACACCATAAATTACTGGACGCTTAAGTATCTTCTCTGATTCACCTTTAGAATCACATCCTTAAAATGTTTTATTTCTGCCGGGCGTTGGTGGCGCACGCCTTTAATCCCAGCACTTGGGAGGCAGAGGCAGGCAGATTTCTGAGTTCGAGGCCAGCCTGGTCTACAGAGGGAGTTCCAGGACAGCCAGGGCTACACAG